CTCTGCATAACGAGGGACTTTCTGTAGTTTAAATACGTCAATCCATCCTATGTCAGTTATGTAAAGTAGTTTAGAGAAATAAAGTTTGTCATTGTCATAACAGCTCCGATAAACCAGAAAACAAAGAGCAGAGAGCACTGCTCTCAGACACTGTGGTCTGCTGCCGTCACAAAGCCATGTGTACAGTCGGCAGAAGTTCTCCATCATATTATATGACACAGTGACTGCTTAAATCAGGTTTAGGTAGAGTCATCTGTCGGCGATGACAGTGGTAGGATGTAGGTAGACTGGAGAGAGGGTGAGGCACTAGGTTGACTGATTAGTAGTTAGTTCAATATCTTCATTACACACCCCATACCCATCCTGTGGGTGGTAGTCAAAAAATTAAAGAGGTACATAATGGATCCAGGGACTGGACCCCAGAGTTTTGATAGTTGAACAAGTTACGAAGGTAATGAACTCCAGGTAGATCTGGTTACAATCATGACCAGGTTACGAAGGTAATGAGTCATCTACACGTCTATACATGGTCATAATAATGAACAAATTACAAAGTAATGAGCCATTCACACGTCCACACCCAGTCACAACTGTAATGAGTTATTAATGCAAATATTAATTGGGTCACACACACACACACACACACACACACACACACACCACACACACACACACACACACACACACACACACACACACACACACACACACACACACGCACACACGCACACACGAATTAACCCCCCCAAATGCAAAGCCATGAAGATCGGGGAAGGGCAAAGAAGACCAAAGACGGAATATAGGCTAGGTGGCCAAAGACTGCAAACCTCGCTCAAGGAGAAAGATCTTGGGGTGAGTATAACACCGAGCATGTCTCCGGAAGCACACATCAGCCAGATAACTGCTGCAGCATATGGGCGCCTGGCAAACCTGAGAACAGCGTTCCGATACCTTAGTAAGGAATCGTTCAAGACACTATACACCGTGTACTTCAGGCCCATACTGGAGTATGCAGCACCTGTTTGGAACCCACACTTGATCAAGCACATCAAGAAATTAGAGAAAGTGCAAAGGTTTGCGACAAGTTTAGTTCCAGAGCTAAGGGGAATGTCCTATGAAGAAAGGTTAAGGGAAATCGGCCTGACGACACTGGAGGACAGGAGGGTCAGGGGAGACATGATAACGACATACAAAATACTGCGTGGAATAGACAAGATGTACAGAGACAGGATGTTCCAGAGATGGGACACAGAAACAAGAGGTCACAATTGGAAGTTGAAGACCCAGATGAGTCAAAGGGATGTTAGGAAGTATTTCTTCAGTCATAGAGTAGTCATGAAGTGGAATAACCTAGCAAGTGAGGTAGTGGAGGCAGGAACCATACATAGCTTTAAGATGAGGTATGATAAAGCTCATGGAGCAGGGAGAGAGTGGACCAAGTAGCGATCAGTGAAGAGGCGGGGTCAGGAGCTCAGTTTCGACCCCTGCAACCACAATTAGGTGAGTACACACACACACACACACACACACACACACACACACACACACACACACACACACTACATAGAAGAAGTAATAATAATCTTTATTTCTACAAGCACATGATACAACTATTACAGACGTAGCTGACATCATTAGCATACGAATGTATAAATCCCCTGATCATGCAGAAGAGTATAATCAAGGAATTTCTATATAGTGTTCACCATAGGTCTGCATCCAAGCCAACAAGATTAACTTAGGTTAATCTTGTTCCCTAGGATGCAACTCAAACAGTCTTCTAACACCCAGGTACCTACTTACTGCTAGGCGAAAAGGGGCTTCAGGAAACATACTCACCGTTTCACCCGAGCCGGGATCGATCCTCGGACCTTCAATAAGTGAGCTGAGGACACTATCAGCCAAGCCAGTGACTGTGAGGAGAGCTTCTGGGAGGATATTAGCAGTAAGTAGATCGACGTGAGGGAGGAAGAGGGACTCTCAGGGAGTCAAAAGTACTTATGGATGATGGAGAATCCGGTACGATTAAGGTGTCAAGGTGTCACCCTTATATTCATGGACGCATTTGAGTACAAGTAGTATATCAAACAGCTCAATCTGAAGGGTAGAAGCTCGGTTATTGACGTGTGACCTAATTTCTGTATAAGAGCCCTTACTCTGTGTGACAGCTGTGGCACTACCCCTAGCAGGGATCCTGGTAGGGGGGCTTCACAGGACTCTTTGACCCCTACCAGTGACAGCAGGGATCCTGGTAGGGGGGCTTCACAGGACTCTTTGACCCCTACCAGTGACAGCTGGGATCCTGGTAGGGGGGCTTCACAAGACTCTTTGACCCCTACCAGTGACAGCAGGGATCCTGGTAGGGGGGCTTCACAGGACTCTTTGACCCCTACCAGTGACAGCAGGGATCCTGGTAGGGGGGCTTCACAGGACTCTTTGACCCCTACCAGTGACAGCAGGGATCCTGGTAGGGGGGCTTCACAGGACTCTTTGACCCCTACCAGTGACAGCAGGGATCCTGGTAGGGGGGCTTCACGGGACTTTTTTTGACCCCTACCGTGACAGGGGGGTCCTGGTAGGGGGGCTTCACGGGCTTTTTTGACCCCTACCAGTGACAGCGGGGGATCCTGGTAGGGGGCTTAAACAGGCTTTTTGACCCTCCCATGAAAAGCATGATCCTGGTAGGGGGCTTCACGGGAAATCTTTGACCCCTACCAGTGCAAGAAAGGATCCTGGTAGGGGGCTTCACAGGACTCTTTGACCCCTACCAGGACAGCGGGATCCTGGTAGGGGGGTTAAACAGGACCTCTTTGACCCTAACCAGTGACAGCAGGGATCCTGATAGGGGGCTTCACAGGACTCTTTGAACCCTACCAGTGACAGCAGGGATCCTGGAGGGGGGCTTCACAGGACTCTTGACCCTTTACCATGACAGAGATCTGGTGGGGGGCTTCACAGGCCCTCTTTGACCCCTACCAGTGACAGCAGGATCCTGGTAGGGGGGCTTCACGGGGACTCTTTGACCCTTTTAACCAGTGAACAGCAGGATCCTGGTAGGGGGCTTCACAGGACTCTTTGCCCCCTACCAGTGACAGCAGGGATCCTGGAAAGGGGGGCTTCACAGGACTCTTTGACCCCTACCAGTGACAGCAGGGATCCTGGTAGGGGGGCTTAAACAGGACCCCTTGACCCCTACCAGTGACAGCAGGGATCCTGGTAGGGGGCTTCACAGGACTCTTTGACCCCTACCAGTGACAGCAGGATCCGGTAGGGGGCTTCACAGGACTCTTTGACCCCTACCAGTGACAGCAGGGATCCTGGTAGGGGGGCTTCACAGGACTCTTTGTCCCCTACCAGTGACAGCTGGGATCCTGGTAGGGGGGCTTCACAGGGCTCTTTGACCCCTACCAGTGACAGCAGGGATCCTGGTAGGGGGGCTTCACAGGGCTCTATGACCCCTACCAGTGACAGCTGGGATCCTGGTAGGGGGGCTTCACAGAGCTCTATGACCCCTACCAGTGACAGCTGGGATCCTGGTAGGGGGACTTCACAGGGCTCTATGACCCCTACCAGTGACAGCTGGGATCCTGGTAGGGGGGCTTCACAGGGCTCTATGACCCCTACCAGTGACAGCAGGGATCCTGGTAGGGGGACTTCACAGAGCTCTATGACCCCTACCAGTGACAGCTGGGATCCTGGTAGGGGGACTTCACTGGGCTCTATGACCCCTACCAGTGACAGCTGGGATCCTGGTAGGGGGGCTTCACAGGGCTCTATGACCCCTACCAGTGACAGCAGGGATCCTGGTAGGGGGGCTTCACAGGGCTCTTTGACCCCTACCAGTGACAGCTGGGATCCTGGTAGGGGGGCTTCACAGGGCTCTATGACCCCTACCAATGACAGCAGGGATCCTGGTAGGGGGGCTTCACAGGGCTCTTTGACCCCTACCAGTGACAGCTGGGATCCTGGTAGGGGGGTTCACAGAGCTCTATGACCCCTACCAGTGACAGCTGGGATCCTGGTAGGGGGGCTTCACAGGTGTCTGTGACCCCTACCAGAGACATAGCCAGGATCATGGTAAGATAGATGGCTCTAATGAACCCTACCAAGGATGTACACAAGCTCATCAGAAACAGGTTTCACAGACTAAATGCCTCCATAAGTTAATCTGGACTGATCCATCCCATAGGTTTTCTCAGGAGGCTGGTATTATTATTATTATTATAATCAAGAGGAAGCGCTAAATCCGTAGGATTATGCAGCGGAGGCTGGTAAAAATTCCGTATTGCAAGAATCATGAAACTGCTTGTCATTGACCTTAAGATTAAATCAGTAGGGATAGGTTTATTTATACCTGTTTCTACTGGCTCAGAACCTTCCCCGGAAACCCATTGTTGTTACAGTCCAAAGTAAGTGTTAAACTCATACTCTGCTGTCTGGAAAACCAAGCTGTTTCTCTAAACTTTCTATCTGCACTTATCTTACTCATTATTTAAGTCTCCCCATGAATGTAATACTGACCCATAGGCCAACAGGAATACCCCTAAATAGACTTATCCCTACTGGCTTACCTCTCCCCATATATGTAATATTGACCCATAAGGTTGCAGGAATACCCCTGAATAGGCCTATCCCTAGTGGATTAAATCTCCCATATGAATTTAACTCTGACCCATAGGCCAGTAGAAACAGTCCTAAATAGGCCTATTCCTACTGGATTAACTCCATGAATATAATACTGTATATGGTAAAAAAGGAGTATGACCCATACGCCAATTTGTTATTATTATGACCTGTACGATTTTAGCACTTTCCTGAATGTTAAAATAATCTGCCCTTCATATAGAGCACTAGTGGTAAAATAATAGTGGAGTTCAGCGCCTCTGGTGGCGAGAGTAGTTACCTCGAGAGAGGTTCCTTGAGAGTGGTGGTGATCTCTTGATCCAAGGAATGTGATCTATGCTACCTGGGAGTGAACTCATCCTCCCAGATGATGCATGACCCCAGCATGTCGAGCGCTCCACCATCAGTAGTACTGATAGTGATGTTGTAGTAGTGTCATCTAATGATCGTAAGAGTTAGTCAGGTTAAGTTATCAGTGATGGTGTTATAGTGAAGGTCAGGACAGTGACCAACCTCAAAGTGACTGAAAGTTCAGTTGAATGTCAGTGGTTGTGGGGGGAGGGGTGTGTTGCTCCTCCGTTCACCCCGCCGGCTTTACCGCTTCCTCATTCTCTTAAAACGGCTAAATAACGTAAGTATTGCCTAGTGACGTATTTGCAAGTACAACAGCAGAGTTGAGCTGCAGCTCCTGGTCCCCGGCACCAGTTTGGTTACTAAATTGTTAATATTTTAAGTCTTAATTAAATTTTCTGTTGGGGCCTAATGTCTTGGTGTGGGGGGGGGGAGTGATTGACCTTAGTGGAAGGGTTTTGATGCTAGAAACTGGGGCTACTCCCTTTCCTCGGATCAGACAACATCTCCCACACTAGGCGTTACATAACCCATAATGGTGTTTGTAGTTCTGGGCTATCTTTTTCCATTATCGAAAAATAACTTAGTCTCTTGATCCAAGAAACTTGCGCCTTGTGATCCAGATACAGGCTTCAACGTAAGCAAATTTAGTCATCGGGTTTATGTGAAAGTAATATTAAAGAAAAGTAAAGATAGCTTTAGTGTCCCTTATACGAAATCACAGTTATGTTAAACATCAACTGCCATATCAACCTGGCAGTAATGTCACTAGTTTATATTGCATGGTGATACTTGTCTGTGTAATGTTCATGGTTATAATGCGAATTTGTTTTGCTTCAGGTGTGGTAACTGTGGAGTGCTGTGCCTGGAACATCTTAGTGATCAACACAGCCACCTTGACCAGTTTGAGGAGTGGAGAGAACCACAGTAGTAAATGGTCTGACCCATAACATTTAGTGATGGAGTTGTGTGGAGATGCAGCAGCTGGGTACGTCGTCAGAGATGGGCGGGGCCCACTTGTAAGGTATTTCCAGGTTATAAGTCAACTAAAGTTTGGGTATTGAAGCAAATAGTAATTGTATTAGGTGAGAGAAGTATAGGAAAGCTTGTAAGGAACTGATAAAAAGTAGCTTAGTGGGAAGTGTTGGCTTATCTCCTGACCAGAGATGAAATCTCTGGCCAGGAAATAAGAAAATGAGAAGTGCGTTCTATGGGTTACCTTGAATGGGGTGGAGATAAAAATTGGAGAAATGGGTTATAAAGCTTAGAAATGAAGACTGATTAGATTTTAGGAAATTTAAGTTTAATATTTTTATTGTGCATCCAGTACCCATCTTGCAAGACTGTAGGAAGCAGAGATGAAATGTGAAGTGATATAATTGTCATAGCTCAGTTGGTAGTGGTGTCAACTGAAGGACCAGGATTCGATCCTGGCCACAAGTGAGCATGTTTTCTTATATAATTCACACAACTTTTAGTTCGTCTGCAATTAGTTTCCACTATGAAAATAACTTTCAGATTTAGGTAGTTAAGTAGGATACGTTAGGTAGAGAACTGGAGAATCTGCTATATGCATGATGAATGCATATAGCAGGGGAGAGTACTCTCCTCCAACGGCATAGGGTACGTAGATCAGTGCGCCTTGGAACCCATCAACGACCTTCAGATTATTATAATAAAGGGGGGAGCGCTAAACCTGTAGGATTATACAGCGCCTGGGGGGGATGTGGAAGGCATTTAGGCTTAATTCGGGGAAACGACCTTGAGGCCATGTGGAATCTTGTTTTTGCACGTAGTTTCTATGGGGATGTTTGTGGGTTTCGGACTTTGGGTTGTGGTCGCGGTGGGTGTTCTACGCATTTTATGCTTTTGGCCAAACTGTGTAGTTAAATATAGATTCATTGAGTATACACAGTTTCATAATTTTGGAAAATTTAAACTGCGCTCAGGTTCCTGTGAATATGAAAGTATTAGAGTTCAGAACTGCAGTTGAAGTTTGTAAGTAATTAAGTCGAAAGCTTCTGGCAGAGGTACGTAAATGAACAAAATGAAAACCTCTGTGATCCGAAGTGAAGTGTTAGTCGGCAGCAAGGATTCGCTAACATTGATGCTGATGAATATAGTTATGTGGAGTGATTTAGATTGGTAAGAATGGGGTTATTAACCCAGCTGGATTAGAAACTAAAAAGGTAGAGGGAGGGGGGGGGGCTTGAATGTGGTGGTCCTCAAGTTGTGGCTTGTATGCGAGTCATAATTGGCAGGTAAGGTAGGTTGTGAATTCGGGCTAGCATAGCAGTATGTTAAGAGATTGGTATACGGCAGGCCTCCAACTGGTTAGCTAACCACGTAGAATTGGTTGTTAGCCTGGTGTGCTATGAGGGACTTGGAAGTGTAGAGTGGAATACAATGTATTAAGTTAAATTTGGATGCACTTCAAGGGGGGGGGGGTCTTTTTACCAGTGAAGGTATCTCGATACAAGCGGTTGCAGGTACCCTCCCCTTTCTTGGCAATCAGGTTTAATCCAAACTGTGAATAACCTCCTATGGGTAACATAGCTATATAGCTATGGAAAAATGACCCATATCAAATGTGCACGAAAATAGTAAAGGGGGGGGGGAGCGGTACACACATCCCTGAAAGGTCGATGAAAGGTAATGGGCTAGTCAGAGGAGAGTAGTGCAATTTTTTTTTTTTTTTTTTTTTTTTGGGGGGGGGGGGGAGGTGAATGGATGGATATTAGGAGCAGGTTTGGCCAGGTTTTAGTGTTTAAAGTTTTCCTCAAAACGCCCATAACAGTTTACCCACAAAGGCAGCAGAAACCTTCTGACAAGCAAGACAGGAGGGTGTCATGTCACCGGTGTTCCAATCCCATGTTAGTCTGAGAAGCATGTTGTGCACACGAGAGGGTTTGCAGTGTTGTACGAAATGCCAGCTCATGAAATTTCAAAATGTATTATACCTCAAACTACTAATGGCAGTATTGAGGCTATCCGCCTTATTACTGCTATTGTTAGTAGGGTTGGGGTAGGTGTATTCCCCCCCCCCTCTCTCCCCGAGCTTAAAGCTCCTGAATTGTGCGAATGTTGTCTTGCTGACAAATACAGCAGTTGAGGCTTGTGTGAAGTTTTCATTTTCTTGCTCTCTTGTGTTCATTGAACACCTTTGTGTGTTAAACATTTCTTTGCTGTGATACTGAAGTGTCTTATTTATTCACATTTTCATTATTTAAGTTTATCGAATCTTTTGGGATGATATTCTCCATGTTGTGGGCAGCTGCAAGTCATCAGCAGCAACAAGCCAAAACAATGTCTGCAAAAACAAAAGTCTGGACATTACTATATTTGTTAATTGTAATAAGCAAAAGTTACCGATATTTTGTATTCTCGAATGCTTTTCAACATTTTCAAGTTAAAAATTGCTAAAATATTTTCAAATTTGATGTCAATTAACAATTCAATTTTTTTTTTAATTACCACAGGATGGAACTGGAGGACTTGGAGGTGTTGGCAGTGTGGCAGAGGAATGACTAGTGGCGCCACTATTCTTGCCCTTCACGGGTAAGTGGCGCCATTGACCTAGGGGAAGGGAGTGATGATGATAGTGGTTGTTTGCGGGGAGGGGGAAGGTTTCAGGGGTTGTCTGCTGGTGGAGGGGTGTTTGGCGGTGAGTAGTTGTTACTGGTGGGATGGTTATGGGGAGGGGGTAGGGGGGATTACTGTCACTTGGTAATTACTAAGGGACTAACACGGTCGTGTTACTGTGTGTTAATGCGGCTTGAACCTTGATATTTGAAACGCCCTGGACACTAGCCCAAAGACACTAGTTTGCCACATATTCCTGATTTTGATGAACACTGTCCATGGACCGTGTTGATGATAGGCTTATGTATTTGACATCTCTTGTGGGTTTAGTGCTTAGTTTTGATAGTTGTGGAAAATTAAAATTACCTGGATGAATCTCATTAGATACATACCAGTAATTTAATAAAAGTAACAAAGATAATTATTCTTTATCAGGGTTACAGAGACATGTAGGAATTTTAGGACATCCTAGGTCGCAAAAAAATGTCCCCCCTTCGATACCTACTACAATCTCTATCTCCACAAGTCACTCTGGACCTATATTAATTTCAATTAAATAGATATCACCAGGAATTCTGGTAAACATTAATATGAATATCTGGACTGTATGTTAAATTTAATAAATGACTACATATGCACATTTATATAACAGAAGGAAATTTATAATACCACTCGCCAATTTGTCTTAAGATTACTTGGTGTGTCATACACAAACCCCTGCCTAAAATATGAAGAAAAATACTGGCCAGAAATTTCAACATAAATAGACGTTACTCAACTGGGATCAGTATTTATCGACGTGTGAAGGTCATGCACTGTTATGTTTTGTGCTAACAGACTTACATCTTAGTAGTGGTTTTAATGATATGGGTGAAATATTTTTAGAAAGCTTGACTCATCCTGTTTTCTTATTACATACAAAATGGAAGAATGTAGCAAATAATGTTATAGCTGAAACAATCCCCGGAGGTAGCGCAGATGAAAGGTCACACACACATGAGCTACTAAGTCTCTGCGAAAAACACACCTTAAGCCAGCAGATAGTGGAGCCAACAAGACTAGAAAACACACTTGACCTTATCTTCACAAATAATGAGGACCTGATAAGAGACATAAGAATATCAAAAACAACTAATTCCGATCACAATCTAATCGAAGTCCAGACGTACATCAAGGGGTCCTGAACACAGAATCTGTACCTGTAAGGTGTCTTCACAAAAAATAAAATTTTCAACAAAAAGAACATACTGGGCCCGGGTAAACCATGTCCCTAAACGAAAATGTTTGGGAAGATGTTTTTAAAATGACATGGACCCAAAACCGTGCCTTAAAAGGATAACTTCCGGTAGCCGAAGCATTTTTAAAGGCTTTTCCCCCTAAAAGAAAAAACAGAGAAAACTGGGGAAAAAAAGAGTCCCTCTAAGAAGACGACGAAAGCCCCTGAGCTCCTCAGGAGGCTAAAATCTGAACACAAAGGAGGACTGACCAGGAAGGGGAAAACTATCAAAATTAAGAAAATGACTCTTACGGGAAACCCGGGGAGGGGGCAGAGGAGTTTAAAGCTATTAGTAAAATTTGAAAGAAATTAAAAAAATTTTTTCATTGTCAAAAAAAAGGCAAAAAACCACATCTAGTAGGGGCCCCTTACTAGGAGGGGACTTACACAGATGACAACAAGGAAATGGGGAAAATATTGAAATCCCATACGCTCTTGTTTAGTAAACCCACTAACGGCCCCTGAGGACGACGCCCCAAATCATTTCTTCATGAAGACCTCAAAACTCCATAAATTATGCCAGTTTCCGACATTACCCTAACCCGATGATTTCGAAAAAGCCATTGAAAAAATGCCTAGAAATCAGCCCCGGGCCCAGCCGTGGAACTCTGTTTTTTAAAGAACTGCAAGAAACCCCTCCGCGTCCCCTAAGTACCTATGGAGGGGACTTGAACAGGGGGAAATTCCCCAGTCACTTAAAACAACGGTAAGCCCCACTATAAAGGTGGCAGCAAAACATTTGCTAAGAACTATAGCCAAAAGCTCTGACGCCCACATCATAAAAATCTTTGAAAAGTGCTAAAAACAGGATTGCAAATACCTGGAATTTCCCAAAAAACTGCACAATCCGGGCAACATGGGTTCAGGGGAGGTCGCTCCTGCCTCTCACAATACTGGATCATATAAAATGGCCTTGGATGCACTGGAAAAAATCAGAATCAGATGTAATATAACAACCTTTTCAAAGCATTTGACAAATGCGATCATGGCTTTAAAAGCCCAAAAATAATGCTAAAGGAATAATGGGAAATGGGGAGATGGATCTTTAAAATTCCTAAAAAATCGAACACAAAAGGTAGGGTCAACGTAGAGCTCTGTTCCCCCAAAAGGGACGTACTCGCCCCCACTTTTCCTTTTCCTCAAATTTAGACATAAAAGAGATATACACCCCCACACCGTTTTTCCTTTGCGGATGATACTAGGATCTGCTGAGGTGTCATCTGCTGAGGAGCGGGTTAACCTCCAAAAGATAAAAACAAAGTTTTCCCGTGGGCAACGGTAAACAAACGATGTTCAATGGGACAAATTCCCCAATACTTCCCCTTTTTTGGGAAAATGGAGGGGAAAAATAAATAGAAAAGAGTATACTACTGACTCCGGCCCTACAATAGAGCGGGAAAAATAAAGTAAGGGGCCTGGGGGTAGTAAGTCGAGGATCTCACTTTCAAGGGCACAACAGTCCAGATCGCACGTGCAAAGAAAAAAAGGAAAGGATAATGAAACTTTTTAAAAAAGAGAGATGCCAAGCCCGATCCTTTTAAAATCACTTGTTCTCTCTAGGTGGAAAATTGCGTACATTAAAATCTCCCTTCAAAGCAGGTGAAATCGCAGATCTGGAAGTGTACAGAGATCCTTTACTGCACGATAAAATTCTGTCAAAACCTTAACACTGGGGAACGCTTGAAAGCACTTTTCTTTTTACTCGTTGGAACGCAGGGGGGGAGAGATATAATCAAATCTACACTTGGAAAAACTGGGAAAAAATGGTCCCAAATCTCACCAGAAATCCTCCCCCGAAAGTAAAAAACTGGGGAAGCGATGCAAAACCGCCAAAAAAAAAGTGGGGTGGCCCTTTGGGACACAAGAGAAAACACCAAAA